ATATTAAATAAATTCTAACAACAGCTTATCAAGCTTAAACGTGCTGCTGTTGTTCAGCTGTTGGTTTCCTCTTTTTGGTGCAAAGTGGGCCAAAAACAAACAAGAGAGACGGACTCGCGACAGAAAAGCCGATCAGCTGATCATTGATCAGTTTCACGATTGAAGTAGCAGCAGGAGAGGGAGAGAGAGAGAGGCGGTCGCTCCATATATCAGTTGTTAAGCTTAACGCGGGAATGCTTTACAAACATTCAGAGATGAACTTACACACTTGCTTTACTTCTCTCTGAGATAACTTCCTCGGAGATGAAATGTTTGCTAGCAGGCTACAAATACGCACAGCCGCTCTATCACGTGACCACACTGCTCCGACGTGCTACGGTTAGTTACGCCGTGTCGCAAGTTTTGTGAGGTGCTTTTTTGATATTTAATGGATCGGATTACATTTTTTATTTCTCTCCGATATCCGATCCAGTAATTTACGTCAGTATCGGACCGATACGTAATATCGGATCGGTCCATCTCTAGTTTTTAATGTTCAGTGAGTTGAGAAATGTTTGAAGTAGTTACTTGGAAAAAAAACATCTTCTATTTCTCAGTAATCACACTTGTAATAGATTTCATTAATTTTCCACGTTACATTAAAAGGACTATTAATAACCCTGTCCCCGTTGGCTCCCTACTGTGCTCATGAACTAGCAATACGACAACAGCAGGGACTTTAACGAGGCTTCTTCTGCCAGCACCTGACTGGCTCTCTTTTTGCATCTACTTTTAAACAGCAGATAATGATCTCTTGCTGAGGGAGACAGATGGTAGGTTTCAGAGTCCCTGTATTTACTGTCTGGTTCTGCTCTGCAGAATGTTTCTTGATTGACAGAACTCTTCAAAATGCTTCAGACTATATATAAACTCTTCTTCTCACACTAAGAATCTATGATTTGGGTTTTTTCATATAGAGAACATAGCGTAGTCTGTAGTTATGGGGTTGATTGGTGACGTTTGAAGTAGGCTTTTATTTTGAAAAACTCCAGTAACTTCCGAGTGTTAGACATAGCAGCTTTTAACGGGTTAGTGAAGGAACACGAAAGGCGTCGGAACATAAATACATACATTTCATCACATTTATGTGAAAATGGGGGCTTGCTTGGCTTTGTGCTCTTTAGCCAGCTGTGTAAGTATCGCATATGAATGTTTGTTTTAGATATTTCCGGAAGGCTTTTGTTTATTCTCCCACCGTTAGGTTAAACTAAGGATAACATTAGTAATTGGTGTCAGGTTTAAGTGTTAGTTGTGACGTTAGGCATGTGATAGCTTCAACAAATGTGAGACCATTTATAAATAGCTGATAATTACTGTTACTTGGGAAATCTACCAATACTTTCGATTTAACGTCGAGTTAGCGTAGCAAGCTAGTCAGAAGTGAACAGGCCATTTTCATCGCGTTGTTAATAAAATGGAAAGTTAGTGACGTTTGGTGTTTAAAGCTGGCGAGTTACTGACACCAGATGTAAGGCATGTGATTTTGATTGCCTTCGTAGGAAACCAGCTCATTTTTAGACCGGCTTAACAAGTGCGGGGTGTGTTCAACCGTTTACATATGGGAACTAGGGTATCGGTAAAGGTGGAGTGTTTTTCGTTGATCAAATAAAATACATGGAGGAACCTTGCGCTCTAATGTTGTTGTTTTTTTTGTAATTAAGCATTTAAGTGAGAGGCGCGAATTTCATGTTACTTGTATCTAAACATCAACCCTTGGAACTGCCATGTTTAATAATTTACCCACACAGTAGTTCAGCTAACCTATTTATGAGTGCCATCACACCTAAGCAGGTGATATATTTTAGTGGCTGTCTTCAGCTTCAACTCTCACACTCTTTATCGCTCTCTCCTCCTACTCCTCCATCCTTGGCAGGCCTCATGTCTGTGTGGCTCAGCACCATGTCTTTTGTGTGGTTGCTGTCCCTCTTCAAATAACTCCACCATCACCCGCTTGGTTTTCTCCTTCTTCTTGCTGATGGGAACCTTTGTGTCTGTCATCATGATCCTTCCTGGAATGGAAACGCAGCTTCGCAAGGTAAGACCTTTGTTCTTATTGTCATATGTATGTATATAATGATATGCAATAGTATTTAACATACAACTACTCATAATATACACCATATAGTCATAATAATAATAATCGTAGTAATGATCATAATAATAATAATAATATTACATAATGAGGTGTGGCTGGAAACTTAGGTCTGTGTAGGCCTAGATACCTGTTGGCACCCATCTGGCAACAACTGGTCCTGAGATTTGCTGTGATTGCTAAATCTCTGTTCCTGCAGATCTGGAGACCAGTCAGTAACCCCCTGGTAAAGATAAGTGGCTAGGAAAAAGTGTTTGTGGCCAGTGGTTGCTGGTATGAAACTGGAGGGAAAGGGGTTTACGGTGCTGCACCGAAAACCTTCTTGAGATTGCTTTGGTCGTCAGCCGATTGGCGCAGTCGCGCATAATTTGTTTGAAAGACGACTTGTCTATACTCATCAACTGCTGTCACAGTGGTAGTGAAACTGAAAAATGATGCAAACAACAAAGACAGCACATTTGCCTACAAAGGAGAAGTTTCTGGTTAGCGTCACACATTTCAAGTTTCACCACAGTAGAAAAGTGTTTGCAGGCAAATCATTGAACCCATGCAGACTATGGGCGACCGTGACAATCTGGTAGCAAACAACATAGTCACAAGAAAGTTTTTGCAGCACCCTCTTGACGACTGACTTCACCTGTCAACACCCAGAAACTTCCAACAACCCCTCAGTTACCTGCTGGGAAATGCACTTTTTTTTTTCTAGTGACCTGGAGGTTGCCAGGTGGGTCACCAACCAGTCTCTGGGTTTATGTGACCAAAGCCTTACTCAAGTATGTAAAATGATGCAGATCTATTTTTGGATCCTTTTCTTGTAGCTACTTTATCTCTAAATAATTTATTGTAAAGTTCTCATATCTCCATTTAAGTAATGTTACCTGAGAAGTCATATCCTGATTGTAGTGCACAAAATTAGCTGCAGCAACAGCTTTTACAGTGTTGTTACAAACTAGAAAAATAGAAAAGGTCATTGTATATTGTTGAACAGGTGTTAGCGAATTAGAAAATGAACTATGATATTTCACTCATTATGAATCCCCTTCATCAAGCATTTAGCTAAACGCTAACCATGGATTCACTATAAAGTAGTCAGTGTGCCCTTTCTTAGTGATTGTCTCACTGTATGTTATGCATTCAGTTTTGTCCTGACTTCTACTAAAATAAAGAAGCACCTTTATATGAAAGCTTGTATTCCTACTACTGGCAGGACCTTTGCTAACTCTGGTTACTGCTGGACAGTATTCACAATAGGTTTTTTTCAAAGTACAGGGTGGGCCATTTATATGGATACACCGTAATAA